TTACAATCAACGTTCATTTAACAGGATGTTTGCACAAGGACTTTTGATAATACTTATATGATTATTAAATATCTTACAAATATCTGTACAAACTTAGTTGTTGTCTGTGTATTAAAACTAAAAAATGTTGTATTATGTGTATAGTCAAAGTTCATTTAAAATACATCTTTTTAACTGATGTAAGACATAAAATTTCTATTTTTACACCAAATATATAATATAGGAATAATGAAAATTGATTACATTTATAGTTGACGTTTACTTATTATTAAATAGTCTATAAATGTCCATAGGAACGTACAATAATCTTAGTCGGCGTATCTATACAAATAACGAAAAGTATACTGTCAACGTTCAATTAACAAACATTAAAAGTTCAATAATACGTACATTATATTTCAATCTGAGACAAATTAATAACTAATTATGTAATATTTATATAATTAATACATGTTTTATTGTTTTTGGCTATCGTAGTCATTCCCTTTGGCACATTTATGCAATTTATTCAATATAATTATAATTAAATAAAAAAATAATTATAATACAAATATAAAAAGTTTTTACTGACAAAATTCATTACTGTTTCATAATTATCTATTAAAAAACTGCGTTTAAGTTTTCTAAAAATCCATTATACGTTTTTTAGAAGCAAATACATTATGCAATTTTATTTATATTAGTTCTTGGTAAAAATTGCGTTGGATTTTTCTCTCTACTTTAATTATATTAAATAGCTATTAAATCACGGCGTAAATGTAAATTAACTGGTGTTGTTTTATTTTTTGATTTAATCGTCTTCTGATTTGTGGTTTCTCGGAAAACCGTTCACCGCGCAAAATCTAGGCGATGAAATGCATAGATCTGTCTAATAATTGCATATTCATATGCAAATGCTACATAATTTCACGTGGGCTTAACTTTATCGACCTTTAGTGCATACGTTTTCACTGTTTTCCATTAAATCATAATTAGAATTGCGCTATACTAGAAACGTCCATGATTTGCAAAAGATATACCAATACACATTTATGCAATACAAAATGTCATTAATTTCTGAATCTACAATCTTATATAAGATGAAAGAAATATTGTAATTTATCTTGTAATTATAATATAAATAGATCATTTAGTATAATGTAAATATTACATATGTGTAACACTTTGCGGACGAGTGGCGGATATATTCGCCCGATATAATTTACTGTCTTTTCATTGTTGAAAATTCTAATATTGAAGTGTAAAAATTCTTTACAAACGTAAATTCTTTAGTATAAAAATAAATAAGTAAAGATTCTTTGCGTGAGGTTTTAGACATTATCACCGCTAACGACGTTCTCTCGAGAAGTGTAAATCGACGTTTAAACACGTACTTTGTGTTATATAACCTCAGGCGAACTGCAATGCTTATTACGTTGCGAGTAGCTAAATATTTTTTTCACATAATTGATACTAAAAGATGATATAGGTTTCTTTTTTAACTCTCTTACTAATTAGATAATAAGGAAATCATTTCTAAATTGTAGGTTTAAGAACATACATTTTTTTAAGATAATTCTGTAATTCGCACTTGGGTTGTAATAAATCGTATCTTAACATCTTAATTAAGAATCCATAATTTCATCCATATATTGTCGAAAAAGAAGAAAAAAAAACATCTTAATATTGTTATTATAATAAGCGTTACAGAATTACATTTATACCAGCATTTAGCTTCTTCTATGAAGCTAAAATATCCTATTTATCAGGAATTGATAGTAGAAATATAATCATTACAGACATTTTTTAATATGTTTACATTGTTTCATTAAATTAAACTATTGATCGTTTCACAAAGATCTTATTTATTGTTTCTTACATAATGAATTTTACCAATTTCATGAGGTTTGTGGAATTAATGTTATTGTTGTAATCATTACAGAATGACATATATAAAATCTTATGGAAGGTGAAAGTAATATTTCAATAAGAATTTAAATAGATTCTTTATTATAATATAATAGTTTAGCATACGTTTATCATTTTGCGGACGAGTGGCGGATATATTCACCCTGTAATTTATATGGCTGAAAATGCGACCTTACAATATCTCCGTACGCAAAGGGTTAACATTTCGGTGTAAACTATTACAAACTAAAAATTCTTTACAAGCGTAAATTATTTAGCATAAAAATAAATAAATTCTTACTTATTGTTTCTTACATAAATAATTTTAGCTATTACTTTTCATCAGGTTTCTTAATATTATTGTTGTAAAAGAGTTCAAAATCTATTTTAAAGTTAAAAATCTATTTTAAAATTATCAATACCAATTACATTTTATAATATTTGTAGTGTTAAGATTGGTATTATAAGCATTGTAGAATGACCGTTTTTTTAAACCAAAATGTTCATCTTTTTATAAAGTCCATAATCCATCTGTGGTTCCATCATGTCTTATTGTTTCTCGATTTAGCGAAACAGATAACAATTATTGCCAAATGTTACTTTTGCTGTAAACCTAAGGGCCTAAGGGTGGAGAAGTGAAAAGTTATTATTGTAATGGCGGAATAATGCGGACATAATTTATCGGACAGTTGTTTCCAAGTGCCGTTAGGACGAGTTTTACGATCGCGACGATAAAATCTATCCGAAAAACTATCGATTCAATCCCTCAAAACGTCCTCTTCCTGCTTTTCGAAGGAATAAGGAAGAAAAAAGGGATGACAAAAAGTTTGGAAGGAAGTCGGATCACGCTCAATGCATTTATATTAAATATGTAATGCAGTTCATCATCATCATAACGCAAATCCCTCAGGTTTTTTTTTCTCCTTCTTACCCTTGTAAAGGCCTCTGGGTACTTTGGAAAGGCTGGAGGGTGAAACAGAGAGAGAGAGAGACATGGTTCGGATGGGAATCATAAAGATGCAAGACAATCTTATCCTTATTTACATAGGACCGGCTCGTGGTTACAGCGTTGCGGGGGTGGCTGGGGATTCGGACCGTGGACTGGACGAAGGGCTAATATCGGCTGCGGCCGCCTCCGGGGGTTTCGCCCATCCCAACAACCGTTCCCGCTCCACCACATCCTTATATATGTATGCATGCACATAGTGGGTGATGGAAATCATCTTCCTTGGTATTTGTTATGCATTACTGGATATGTGTGGACACTGTCCCAGTATAATATTTCAATATATTCCTGATACGGTGGAAGGGAAGAGGGACGGTTGCGCCTCGCATGTAAATACGAAGCAAATAAAATTTCACGGATGGACTTTCCGACTCTATATCTCTCCCTCACATTCCCATTGAAAACGAATGCTGTAAACGCAATAAAAATTTTCGGCCCTCATGAATTCCAATATATATATATTATAATAGCGGTAAGCCATCAAAACCCCGTCGGGAGGGGGGTAGTTTTCGACGTTTCACACGTATCCATCCGTCCGTCGCCAAAATTGGAAAATACATATATATATAGATTCACCACCAATACGTACTTTAATGGGAACCCAATACCACCGGACTCGACAAAAAAAAATATTGGAAAAATTGATGCAAAGCCAATTTTTATATTTCACATGCGAATTCATTTTAAATTTGAATGGATTATGGAGGAATGGGAGATAGAGACGGGAGGATGATGATGATATGCAAAAAAAAAAAATGAAAATAAAAAATATATAACTACATTTATATATGTAACGGGGGTGGACCACAATATATGTCCATAAATTCCCTCAGTATTTTTTGATGAACTAATGGCTTGTACATGTTTATCTTCGCTGTACGCTGTGAATGCGAATATGCCCGGCTCGTTTAATGATCGTATTCAAATTCGGACAGGAATAGTTGTATATAAATAAGGATTCTTTATATTTTACTCGTATTACTATGATATTCAATTACGGATTTACAAAATGCTTTTTTTAATATAATAAACTAACGATCTTTCCAAAATTGAAACACCTAGAATCCCTTAACAATTGAATGAAATGTAAGATTTTATAAGGAATATTTGTTAAGTTGATTTCTTCTAATATTTCTTTATTCCTAAATAACTGAAGAAATACTACTTTCATTACCGTATTTCAATTTGTTTCGTTGTATGATGACAAGTGCTTTTTTGAGGGCGCAACGAGGAGTAGAATTTAATCATTGCTGGATAAAGATTTACTCGTTTAAGTATATTCAGAAAGTTACACTTTCGTTAAAAAAAATACTTACAAATATACTCTAAGATTTTTTTCTGATCGAATTTTGTTATCGTGTAATAGGGTAAACTTTTGATAGTAATTTTTTACAAACGATTTTCTTTTTAAATTTTGTACCGCATTTAACAGAAACCTACAAAATTTATTCCTTTTATCTAAAATTTACAGAAATAGTTTTGGACATAACTAACTCTAATAGTAACATAATAAAGTGTTTTGAAACACGTCATTTTATTAATAAATGCAATTCTTCCTTTTTGTACGTATTCAAATCCAATACCAAAAGATAAAATAATAATATTGGCTTTCATCACTTTACTACAAATGTTCAATTATTTTTCTTTCTACATTTATTAAGATATTTTTTTTTACAAAACGAAAAATTTAATTTTTTTATAAGAAAACTACATAATTCATTCTAATTTTCGATAATTAATTTTTTTTTCTCTAAAATTTAAAGAGATTAATAATTTTTGGAAATATTTAAATCTAATAGTAACATACTAAATAATTATTATTTTCTTTCTTTTACAAGAATACTTTTTTTCTTTGATGTACAAAATGCATTTCAGTTTTTAAATTTAGTGATCTTTAAACAATAAATTAAATAAAGAGAAAATAGTGCAAAAAATAATTATATTTGTTTTGTATTAATTTATTTTCATCTTAAAATAAAAAAAAAATAAATTAAAAAAATGTGTATTTGTTTGTACTTGTAACTAAAATTTATTTTATGTAATTAAATTAAAATTAATTATGTTTTCATTTCTAATAATATTTATTTCTTATTTGTTTCAGGTAAGCATTATATTCCTTCCCGATATTGTAAGTACATTAATGTTAATGTAATATTATTTTTTTTTATGACAAAATAAATAATTAAAAAATTGATTTCTATTAAAATACTGAAGCAATTCATGTAATAATAAACCAAAAAATTATATGATGTTTCAGTAAATAATTGATAATTTAGTTCATTACACATTTTTATGTGGATCAAAAGGCTTTAGAACTACTTAAAGCAATTTTAATGTAATGAATGATTTAATTGCCATCTCTCGGCAAACCAACCTAATAAGCATATGTACTTTATTTCTAAATCTTATGCAACAGGAATGAACATGATAGTTAAAGTGTGTTATATTTTGCTTAGTTTGTATTAAATTCTATACTTTTGTTAACGAATTTCAATTGGAAATGAAAGCGCGAACGCTAATTATCTGTCCGAGGTGTATAAAATCGTCGACAAAAGCGGAGCTAAACTACGTGGAACTGCGAAATGCGGGAAATATAATTGAGATGTATGGAATTATTACTGTCCGATGTGAATGATTGATGCGCCTAAAGTTGCTTCGATGCATCCGAGCATTGCGAAAATATTGCACCAATCTTTCAACCTAAGAAGAAAAACAACAAGAACAAAAAAAAAGTGAATAAACTCGCGTATTTCATCACACCGGAGCGAAAATAATAGAGTTACGCAACAGAAAGTTGCCGTATTAATATTTATCAAAACAATTATGTAAACACCGTTTAAGATAATTACATATTTTCTTGGGCATCCGCAAAACTTGCGGTGAAGAAGTAATATCCAGAGGACGCGTGGTATGATTACAGCCTGTTGCGCTCGTCTTTAACGTTGAAGATAGCTATTACACGTAATAAACGTTAATCTGGATGGATGAATGTATTTTTAATGATTCCGAACTTTTATTTGCGCTTTCTTTTTCTTGTTCCTTCACACTTTGGCGAATTAAAATTTCCACGCGTTTCTCTCTCGTTTTTTTTTCTTACTGTTTCTTCTCTTAGCCGCTCCTTCATAATTGATTCTAACGTTGTTAAGGGATCCTTAAAGGCAATATTTTCCCCTCGCGGTTTATCAGCTTAAGCTGTCTCGAGGGGTTCGGAATCTTTAATAATTGAGATAAAATTAACGCGGAAAATAGCAAAAAAAAAGTAAATGAGGAAAATGCTGAGGAGAAATGTGTGTATATTTATTTATATAATAAGGAAGTCGATCGGAAATAAATTTACGGAAACGATTTTTTTTAGCGAAGCCATAAATTAGTGAAGGCGAATTAAAGTCGAGAGATTAATTGCAAATATCGACAAGAATTTTCATAAAAAAAACGCTTTTAAATCTAATTTATATTTAATGAAATAACATTTTGTTATTGCTATTAATAGTTAATATTTCTAGTTTATAAATATTCCTAGAAGTAAATGCATATTTCGATAGTTAATAGACCATAAACTGAAGGTAATATCAATAAATATGTTGTAAACTAGAAGACTTTCTTAAAGTAATAAATACATTTAATTGAGACGCCATCTATTGAGTAAATAACGAACTTATAAACTTTCACTTTGTCGTCATTATATTTTGAGAATGGACCATAAATTATAATGGTAACATTATACATAAACTAGAACTTAACTTATTTCATTGAGAAGTCATCTATTGAGCAAACGTTGTACTTAGTACCTTTCACAAGGACTTTTTATCAGATTATAAATTGTATTCTATACAGATTTTAAAGAAATTTAATACTAATAAACATATTTAATTGAACAACAACCTTTCACTGAAACGTCAATGGATTTTTAAGTTGTCCATGATTTCTATACAATCTCAATGTAACGGTAAATACACGTATTTCAAAGATTTTTTTAATTATATAAACACATTTAATTGAGACGCCATCTATCGACCAAGTAAAGAACTTATTTTACATCATTTTATTTTACCAATTTTTTTTACTACTTTCATAATTAGTTAAGTGCATGTTACTTGACAAGTACCAAGTAACATATTACATTTCAACGGTAACGCGTTTATTTTTATTAAATACTTAAAAAGTTAATCCAATAATAAATTAAAGAAAACAATTTTTCAAACTAAATTGATTGTGGTTTTAGGAAAAGAATTATAAGTGATATAAATAATTTGTAAATAGTAATAGTAAAACTTTCATCATTTACATAAATATGTTCTCTTTTGTTGTTGTCTTGTTGGATTTGTAAGGAAATATTATTTATGATCGAAATTTCCTTGTGGGAAAAATAGTTTGGTTGACAGGGAGACTTGTTCAATGAAGATATATATAGATATGTAGATAGATCCAAAGGTTGGAGAGAAAACAGTTATCATTCCGGTCGAGAATCGCTTCGGGAAACGGAAATGTAGTGGACTGGAAGTCCTGCGTAAATTCTGACTAATCCCAACGATTTGAATAAATGCTTCAAATCGACGTCTGCATATCGAATCGATTAATTTCCTTTTTCAGATTGCCGACTCTCAGCATCTTTTAAATCGCCTTCAAACTGATTTCACCATTTGCATCCACTCAAAATTATTAATTAATCTTCTTCCAACAAGACAATTTATAAATTTCAGTTATTTAAAAAAAAAATCAAAGATAATCATAATTATTAATTAGATATATTGAAGTTAATGACAATTTTGATAAATTAACATAATTATTTTGTCAATTAATTAAAAATCATTTTGTAATTAGAAATCCAATGAAGTGTTAATAAAAATTGTCTGAAAATAAATTTTACAAAAAAATTACATAAATTAAATTTATTTTCATCCAGACAAAAAATTGAATTTGTATATGAAAAATGGAAAATTTTGTCCAAATTATTAAAAAAAAAATGGATATAATTTAATGCCTTGTTTATTTAATAATTTACGAAAAGTTTCAAATTTATTAAATAAATACTTATAATTATTAACATTAATTAAAGAAAAGTAAGAAAATATCAATTAATTTTTATTGGTGCAAAAAAATATGTCACTAGTTTATAAATTTATCTGTAAAATACGTATTTTTTGTTAACATTTCCATAAAAATTATGTATTTTTTGCTTTCTCGATATATATTTTAATTTTCTAAATATTGCTTTAAAATTCAATATAATAATATTAGGATTGTGTTGTGTAAATTTGATGTATAAAAATGTCTTTCTATTTGACAAAGCTGCCGTTTTTATTGCAACAGTTATGGGTAGTAAAACCTCTGGAAAAATGTCATTTTAATTCGTCCAGAAAAGTGTATTCATAGGCTTTCCTACACCACACCCCCACGCAATATCTCCCCTTTTCATTGCAGGAATGCCCTTTGGTCAGTAGTCCTGGAGGATGAGAGAGACTTATGCATGAATGGATAAATCGATGGGTGTTGGGATGGCTGCGGCTGCGGTCGGGCAGATAACAAGTGAAATAGGCACGTATAGGTGCCGACACACCATATCGAATTCACTACGCTCTGGGGGGGGAGCTCAGCGCTCTCCTTACAAAAACCGAATTGAATTATGGCCAGAACACGGCTCCGGCGGTCAGAGATGAATGGAAGGGAACACAATCATTTCTTCCATTTTTTTTCTCTCTCTCCCCATAGTTCTCTCTACTTTTTTTTTTCAACCCCCTTATGATTATTTCGCACGGCTGGAGGATCGGGTTGTGCCAATTATGGCCGTTTTATTATTTTAATGCGCCGTAAAAATATAATATAGTGTCCGTATTTTATTTTTTTTTTCGGTTTTCTTCCTCTACTTTCTCTCTTTTATTCTCTTATACTAAGTATATATATATATTCATCTATTCTCTGTCCGCTGGGTTTGCGAGGTGCGCGGGTGTTGGGTGGTTTCGGAATCCAGTTTTTCCACCCTCGCGCCGCGGCTTTTCCCACTCGTTATGTGCTTTGGAAACGCTCGAGAATATTACTCATGCACTGGCAATTTTTACTGTGAAATAAATCATCATTATTGGCCGGACCGAAAGGGCTTAGTAGTCCTGCAGTGTCTGTTTCCCACCCCCTTTCACGTGTTCCGCCTTCTCTCCTATACATTTTTTCTTCCCTCTTTTTTTGGTTGATCCGCATTTTCATTTCAAATCCGTTTCCTCCACCTCCGCGAAGGGAGAGGGCTTCCACTTTCATGTTCTGCGTCCTTCCACACTTAACATCACGCAATAAATTTATACCTAATGCTGTAATATGTTCCACTCTATACGTTTTTAATCCTTCTCTTTTGGTCACTTAGTTTTTGAACCTCCACAATATTTTCATCTTCATTAATTCATTTTATTTTGTTCTTCAATGAATTTCTATGTGATTTAACAAAAATATAAGTTTACAATCACATTTACACATATAACACTGATTAGCTTTTGTATACAAACATTAAACATATTGCATATTGTTTTTCAAAATCTATATAATTTCATAAACTAACAAAAAATGTAATAATAACGTTTATTGTAATAATTAAACTATTAAATCAAATAATACAACTTGTTAAAATGATTCCTACATTGAAGAACTATTACCGAAAATTTACGGGTTTCTTTCTAATATTTTAGAAACAATTTCAACACATTCAACAAAAAATCTCATATTTTCATCAATTATATAGTTTTATTCTTACTACCTTGATGTATCCTTACTCTCTAAAGTTTTATTACTTTAATTTCACTTTACAATATATTCAAATCCATACTTTTGTACAAAACATAATTAATAAATTAACGTATTTATTATTATTTTAGTTTTATCAAAGTTTATCTTTAATATTGTCAACAATTCTTCTTTAGATGAGTTCAAAAACACTTTAAGATCAATTATATTTAATACAAAAGAATTTCAGAAAAAAATATATTTGAATATTTCATGAAAATCCATTTGATTATTTGAAAGATTTAAAACGGTTATAAAACTATTAAGACAAAATATGTGATTAAATCATAATCGACAATTAACAATTTTCAGTACGATTTTCTATATCTAATTTTAAATTAATTTTGTTTTTACATATATAAT